TTTATGCCTGAGCTGTCGCTTCCGCTGCCCTGGCCGCTGCTTAGCGCTGCTGCTACGGCGTCCTGCTGCTTTGCCGGCGCTACACGATCCACCAACAGAGCCAGGAGCTGGTGCAGGGGATCCGGTGCTGAGTCGGCCCCGACAAACGGGTCCTCGGCTGCAACTTCCGGTAAGGCCCCCAGCTCTGCTTCCCTGAAGAGAGAATCTCGGAGAACAGCTGGTGGGCGTGGAGCTGCAACCTTTGGGGTCTGCCCCAGAAGAGGCTGCCGCGGAGGAGGTCCCGCCAAGCTGCGCAGTCGCTCGAGGGCCCCAGTGTCCAAGCCTTGGGAGGGTCTCGCCAGAAGAGGCGCCGAGCGTCCACTGGCGGTCCGATCGTCTTGTGGTTGGGGCCTCTGGTTCAGGACAGCCTCGAGTTGTCGAATCCGGTCCTGCAAGAAGCTCACCATCTCCTGCTCTTCCACGGGCTGGCCATCGACCTCCGCCTCGTCCTCGGACAGGACAGCGGTCTCTGGCACCCCCATCCCAGTTTCTTCGTCCTCGCCGGTGACATACTCGGCGGCTGTAGAGCTGTCCATGGCCGTCTGAACCCAGCGCGCCGCTGCCTGCAGCACGCTTACAGTTCGTGGGCGCGCGGAGACGCCCTCGGCGGAGAAGGCAGTCAGTCGGAGTTCGCGGGCAGCTGCCCCTCGCAGAGGGTGGCTCTTTGTGAAGCCACTTACCCCTTCCCAGGGCACATCCACGAAGTAGACGTCGTGCTTGCCGAGTGTGCGCCCACGCACCGTCTCCAGCTCCACCCTGGCACGGTGCTCCAAGACCAGATCCTCGCCATCGTCGGACTTTAGCGCACGCATGGCCTCGATGACACGGTCGTCGAAAGGCAAAACAACCAGAAAACCACCATGCCTCGTTCGCACCAGGTAGGCTTGCCCCAAGCGGCTGGGCCCAGCACCATCCTCGCCATCTTTCCCCAGCAGCGCAAAGAGCGCAGGCAGGGCCTTTCCGGGTTCGATCGTCTCGCCGAGGGCCTCCACCTGTGCCTGGGTACATGGGGGCTTGTTCAGAGCGGCGGCGGCCATGGCCGTTCAGGCCGTAGAAAGCGCCACTGAGGGACCACGTAGACGCTATCCGCAGCCGAAGCAAAGGAAGGCAACACACAGCAAAGCCGGTCTCACCTGGCGGACGAGCTCGTATGGCGAAGCAGCCAGCACCGTTCTCACGAAAGCGCTGAGGTCTGCGCCTGGAGGTTAGTCCCAGCTGAGCCTTCAAACAAAGTCAAAGTGAAGCCTGACTCCCCAAAGGTCACCGGCTGTAGCGCTCTGCCCCGGTTGCAAATTTGCGAAGCCCCCACACGCAAAGTGATCTCTTCGAGCTTTTGTTCAGGAGTCTCGCTCGCGCACTGACCGAGCCTGTCTGTACTCGGACAAACGCCGAAGATCAGGTGTAGCCCGGGTGACCTCACCGGCTTGTAGTCCAGCAAGAAGAATCCGACCAGCACTGAGGCAGGCTCGTCGAAGCAATGGCGAAAGGAAGATACTGGCTAAGGAGGCCCCTAGGCAGCAGCCGAAGCAGCACGCAAGGAGCACGAGCAGTCCCACAAGTCCCCACGGACAGGCGGGACAGAAAGCAGGGGATAAACCCCGCAGCAGCTCGCTGCCGGCCCCGAGCGCACTCCACAGCCACGCCGTAGGCATCTACCCCTGAAACCTTGAAGCCAGGTGCAACCGTGTCTTCACTCAGCAAGGGATACTTGGTCAAACCCTAAACCCCAAACCCTAAACCCTAAACCCAAAACAGATCCCATAATTCTGCAATCCCCAGAAGAGGAGGGCGAGCCTGCAGGCGCGAAGATGCGTCCGCTATCTCGAGGGCCTGTTTCCTGGCCATCGTATTTTGGGCAGTTCACGCGATACTTTCGCAGGGATTGTAAGGGGGATGCTTGAAGGACTTGTTGAGTGGTAACTACTTTCTTCCCCGCAAAGAGACAAAATCAGAAGCTCCCCCCCTGGACCCTAAACCCCAACCCTAAACCCCCTCAACCCGCCAACCTCGCCTCATGTTTTCTTTGAGCTGGGAATCGGCGGCCAGGGTTCCTCGCTCTTCCTGGCCGAGGGCTTGGCGGTTGGAGGGGCCAAAGACCCGTGCAACATAGGAATGTAGGGGTCCATTGCATTGAACCAGAATGTGCGTTGTGTGTCGGATTGTGCGGTCGATCAAGAGACATCTGCAGGAATTCTAGTGGTGAAATGTTGGGGGGTAATTTCCTGTGTTTAGGGTTCACCGCCCTTTTAGAAACCGCAATGGACTGCACGCAACCTGGATGCCTGAAGCTGAAACCTGCCTCGACCTGCTGCCGGAGAAGCGCGAAAATCTCCTCCGGATGGGCTTTGGGGATGGCTTCATGGGGCCTAGGAGCCGGAAGTTTTTTGGGGGGGGGGTCACGTCCTTACCTACTGCAGCTGGTTTTCATTACAAGTAGAAGGCTCTGAGCGAATGAGTCTACAGGCACAGCATGGCACGGCCAGGGTTCACAAGCATGCATCGCTGTGCCTGCTTTCCGGCCTCGTCTAAGTCTCGAGGCAGGGAGCCGTACCTGATGTCTCGGACGCCAGAAGCGTTGCTGCGCCCTACCCTGAAGTGAGCAAAAAACAGAACCTCCCGTGTTGGACACATGGCGCCTCCGCTGGTACAGCCACACGATCCACACGACCAGCGTGATGTTCACAAGCCTCATAACGCTTGGGGCCGACGGGACCCCCGACCTCCTCGCAACTCCATGCTACAGGTTTGTTTAGTGAAGTAGGAGCTCAGATGGTTCCGTCAACCGAACGCCAAGCAGCCATGCCGCACCAGCGTTGCTCCTCAAGCGGCCCAGCTCCTCCTTGCACATGGCTTTCTATAGATGCTTCTCTCGGCCCGTGCGCACGAGCGCAGTGCGCGCAGTGCGTGCAGTGCGTGCAGACAAAGGATGCCACCTGCCTCCTCGTCGGACTGGGGCTTCCGGTGCTCTGACCTGAACAGCGCAATTCAAGGAAAAGACGGAGAAAAGGCGTCGCAGCAAGACGTTGCTTCGTGCTGAGGCGATGGCATGAAACACAGGGTCTGTGACAGTCTGTAACACACAGGACTTCGAACGGCACGCGGCGTGCTGATTGTTTCCGGGGCGGCGCCCCAGCGAGCCTCGCCTCACCCCCTGTGCCGGGTGGTTTCAGACTCCGCATCCCAAGAGCGCTATCTCCGGGTTGAGATTGAGCTGGAGGGTTTTGGGCTGAGAGGCTTCAGCACAAGTGCGCGTGCACCTTCGCACATGTCGCTTTGCCTGCAAGCCCGTACACCCTCCGCAATCCCTAGCAATCTCTCGCCATCCTTGCAATCCCCCGACGCACCAACCTCTTCTGCGACGTATCCTGTATGTCTTGCTTGCGAGGAAGTGCTTGCTTGCTTCCCCGTACTGCGGACCGATTTTCGCAAAAATCACGCTCGAGCACTTTCCTAGTACTAAATTCTCGGTCCAGCCTCATAGGCACAACCTTGTACCAGTTTAGCACCTCACAATCTAGCATATTGGGGCGTTTTGTTGCGGATGAAGGCTGGAGCTAGGGCCTCACTCCCCCTCTTGAAATATCCTACGATTTGGATTCTAGCCTTTTAAGGGGAGTATAAGGGGTACCCCCATGTTGGGAAGTGCCCCATGTTACGAGGGAGGCGAAGCCGGGCGTCCGGCTCCGAGGCCCGCAGGAAGGACCGACTGCGGCCTCTCGTGCCCGAGCTCCCGGCACCCTGAACCCGAAACCCTAAAGCCCTAAACCCCTTAAGATTAGGAATTTCGGGAGGGTTTGGGGTTGAGGGATGTTGAGGGATGTTGGGGGATGTTGAGGGGTCCCCAAAGCCTCCCCCCGAGCCCGAGCAGAAGCCGCTTCTGCCGCTTGCGCGCCTGGTGGGAGTCTCACGGGCCAGGTCCGAGATGCCTCCGCAGTGTGCACTACGGTGTACAGCATGTACACATGTTTATATATGTATAAATATGTATACTGCAAAACAAACACATATACACATGTATATAGATATAAATATAAATATAAATACAAATACAAATATGTATATATATATATGCATGTATGCAATATCAATATATATATATATATATATATATATATATATATATATTTTTCGAGACTTATGGAACTTTTCACCTACACGAAGGTTCATTGGTTGTTCTTCCCGAGGGTAGCAAGAAAAACCCATATGCTGTACCTCTATTGGCTTTCTCAACACAGCAATTAAAGTTCCCATGAACCTTGAAGGAATGTGGCACGAAGCGCACTCTGGCGATACGGAAGTTGCACTAAAGCTCTGGGGTCTGGGACGAAGTATTCCGGCATTCCCTCTCTCTCGGGGTTATACCCTACACGCTAAACCCTAAACCCCTTTTTGAACCCTAATCCCTAAGCCTCTAAACCGGAGTCGAGGGCCTTCGGAGCGGCGGGGGCCTGCGGCACGGCCGCTGCTAGGCAGGGCCATGGCGGCAGGCGGAGCATGGGCCGAGGAGAAGAGGTTTCTTGGTTGTGACTTGCGTTGTGTGGGGGGAGGCTGTTGGGTGTTTGTTTCTTTTCTGGGGTGTGCTGTCTGGTTTTATGGGGTTGTGACTTGTGTTGTGCTGCGGGCTTTTGGTTTGTCGTTGGGGGGTGTGCCGTCAGGCTTTGTTGAGTTCCGCGGGGGAGCGCAAACCCGGGTGACTTTCTTCAACGTGGGGGGGGGCCTCTAAGGGGTGGCTGCTGAGGTGCCCTGCGAGGTCCTTAACAGGGGATCGCTGATGGCAGACGCTGGAGCCAGATTTGGGGGTTTACGATATTGGGGGGGTACCTTCTTGGGGTCCTTTTATGTTCAGAAAATCCTAATTTGGGGGTCTACCCTAAACCCTAAACCCTAAACCCTATTTTTGTAAACTCCCAGATTGGTCCCCAAGGATGAAGCCGAGCAGAGTAAAGCGACTGCTGGGCCACGGGATGGCAATGTCGTCCAGCTCCTTGACGCTGTACTCCTTCCTTTGGCCCGGGCTTAAAGTTTAGGGTTTAGGGTTTGGGGTTTGGGGTTTAGGGTTTAGGGTTTAGGGGTCGGGTGCAGATGGAAGATTGACGGACCCGACAACCCTGCCCAGAAAGCTGAAAGACCTGACCCTCTCTGGGCTGTTGAGACTGCGGCTTCTTGCCCTTGTTGTCCACCTCTTCCTGTTCTGGGTTGATGTTTAGGGCTTAGGGTTTAGGGTTTAGGATTTGGGGTTTAGGGTTTAGGGTTTAGGGTTTAGGGTTTAGGGTTTAGGGTTTAGGGTTCTTGGCTGACTTCTGAACCCCTCCTAAAAGTTTAACTTTTAGGCTCCTTATTGTAGCGTATACAAAACCCTAAAAGTTAAAGTCCTAAGAGCCAGCCAGAAGAAAGCCAAGGGTTTAGGGTTTAGGGTTTAGGGAATAGGGTTTAAGGTTTAGGGTTTAGGGTTCGGGTTTAGGGTTTAGGGCTTCGGGCTCAGGGCTTGGGTTGTTAGTTTGGCAAAGGACCGCAATGCTTGCAACAGCAACCTTCCTCCAACCGCAGGTGTCTAGTATAGCGATGGATGCTTCTCTTCCTGCTCCATCCTCATGAAGGCACTTCCCACCAGAACGGGACCCTTCATATACCCCTAAACCAAAACCGAAAAGCCTACTACGTAAACTTCCTGAGTGTCCCAAACTTCCTAGCACCCCACCAAAACAAGCTAAACCCATAAACTTCTCCCAATTCTTCTCCTAAACTTGTCCTACTAACCCTCTCTTACCCAGAAATACATACATAGAGAGAGAGAGAGATTTTTAAAAAATCATATAAATATATATATATATATATGTATATATTTCAGCCTTTTTACGATTTCTGTCAATCTGCCCACCGGCTTTTTTCAGATTTCGGTCCATCGGCACCAGTGTTTTTCAGACTTCGGTCAGACCATCCAGGGCTTAGTTTGAGGGTTCAGAGCCTAGGGCTTAAGTGTTCAGGACCTTGGGCTTAGGGTTTAGGGCACAGGTGAGAGAGAAAAAAAAGAAAACTTACGATCTTAATGTTCCCATCGACTGATAAAAACCCTCGACGTGAAAGCTAGTACATGAGCTGCTGACCCTAGACCCTAAACCCTTAACCCTAAACCCGACACCCAAAACCCTAAACCCTAAACCCTAAACCCTAAACCCTCTTCAGCCGGCTCCTTCAGCTGCTTCCACTCGGGGATGGCCGTCTGAGACAAGCGGAAGCGAGGAAGACAAGCAGAGGGACACTCCCGATTCGAGGGCTCTTCAGGGACGGGGGGTTCCCCAAGGCGAACCCTAAACCCTAAACCCTAAGGGTTTAGGGTTTGGGGTTTAGGGTTGGCGACGAACTTTCTGAGCCGGATCCTCTTCAACCCGAGAGAACAAAACGGGTGGCAAGCGAGCCGAGCTGGAGAATTGGAAGCGGCCTCGAGCACGTTTGTGAAGACCGCCCGGTCATAGACGCCCAGCTGGGACAAGATCTTGCGGTTGATGTTGATGTTCTTCTCCTCTTTGGCCGATGCTTTGGAAAAAAATCGCTCACAACAATTCTGCACTTCACGCCGCTTGACAGCGTTTTGCCAGGCTCTCAGGGGAGGCGTCCCCCAGCAGGCCTTGAGCCGGCAGATGAAGACATTGTACCTGAAAGCTTCGAACTGCTGGCGGCATTTTGTGCGAGCGAAGGTGCACTCGGCTCGCTCTCTCTCTCTCTCGCTCTCTCTCTCGCTCATTCGGCTTCGGACCGAATGCCATGCAGCTTGGAGTTGTTGCTGACCTCAACTCTGTGCTGAATTCGAACGTTTCAAAGATCAGGCTTACTACTAAGGCTTGCTACGGCTCTCTAGACCTGAAACAGCCTGTGAGCAAATGGCCAGAGCGGTTCACGAACAGCGCAGCAGATTTGACATCGTGAGCTTTGCAGAGCCACGAGAGCACGGATCCTCCCTCCCTCGGTTGCGGGCACGCTTGATCCACAGCTTGCGGCGATCGCGCTTAAAGACGCGGCGGATGCGGTATCTGACGCAGGGCTCACAAACCACGGCCCGTACGCATCTTCACTGATTCAGTGTATGTGAAGCAGCGGTGATGACAGGATGGCCTCATCTTGTGGGCGTACATCACCGCCTGCTTGGCAAAGCGGTGGCCTCGGCGGTTTCCCCCATCACCCAAACCCAACATCACCCAAAAGCAGAAGTGCACAAAGTCATCATCAATCGTGAAGCCGATGTGCCGACTGAAGCGCAAAACGTGCGAAGCACGCTATAACACCTTTTTCCCCCGGTAAGCTCGGAAGGGTCCCGCGACGTCCGTGCCACTTCCTCCTCCAGCTGCTGGATTCCTTGGCTGCCCGGCATGACAGCAAGGCCTCGAGGCTCATGGGAAGTTCAGGGCTCAGGGGGCTGGAAAGAGGTAGCTGCGAGGGAGCGTGCTGCCCACGCGTTTCGTATTGCTATGAAGTTGGGTCAATGTCGAAGCGTAGGGCATCGGACGGCGACGTCCCTGGCATGGGGGGCACAGTCCCAGGTTTGGGAGCACCCCTTTCCAAGGCCAATTGTGTCGGAATGGGAATGGTTGTGTTCTAGGTTTGACTGGACCCCACCAAAAAAAAGGCCCGCCGGCCAAGAAGCCCAAGCACGGAGCCGAGTCGCTTCTGTGGGCGGCTGCCAGCTGCTGGCGCAGCTCCTCCCGGCGATCGGAAAACTCAGACTGCCCCGAGAATCCTTTCAACAAGCCTTCCCAATGGTTCTGTAACCCTCAACCCTAAACCCTAAACCCAAAACCAGAAACCCTGAACAGTGCCCTCTGAAGTGCCCTCTGAAGGGCACCAAATGGTCCTGTGTGGCTTCCTCGATGTAGGGCTTGGCAGCCTGGCATCCCCAATAAAAGCCACGGAACATCAATGAAGATTCCCCCTCGCCCCTAAACCCTAAACCCTAAACCCTAAACCCTAAACCCTAAACCCTAAACCCTAAACCCTAAACCCTAAACCCTAACCCAAACCCTAAACCTAAACCCGAAACCCTAAACCCTAAACCCTCCTCCCCCCAGCCCCAGCAGCGCCTCACGCTCTTCGGCCCGCCGCTGCGCATCCTCTGGGATCTCAAGAAATCTAAGGGTAGATTCAAAGAATACCAACCCTACACCCTAAACCCGAAACCCTAAACCCTAAACCCCCCTTTATGTACCCCTTATGTACCACGACTCTGAACCCTTTGCAACCCCAGCATTGGTACACCAAACTCTGATCACCCCCGCATCTCCCCCTTCACACACATACACCTACACACACACACAGTCGTACAAATCCATACACCCATGCACATATACATCTACACAATATCCGTCATATTCTTCAAATGTCTGATAATCATCTTCATAGACAGCATTAGTAGATGAAACAGACTGACACAATGACAAAGAAAATTGAACGAACCAATATGATATTGCAGAGAACTCCAAAATGATCCAAGATGAACCTCCCTGCGGCCTTGGCCGACAGCCACGCCTCACCCTCAGCCCGGCAGCGCGCCAGGGCCTCCGTGTCCTCGCAAGCCGTTTGGGCACGTTTTTTGGGAGAAGTCCTCTGCCTACCCCGAAGCCCAAGAAAGCTAAGGAACTAAGGAAGGTTACTCTCAAGTTGAGACACTATTCCGAGCCCCTGCAGCGGGGGGGGGGGAGGTGTGCATTTCTTGTTCTTACAGCAACTTACCCACGATGCAAGGGTTCCTGGGTATTACAGCTGGAACTGTCGGGAAGTTGAGGTCTGTGTGGTGGCTTGGTTTCTCCGCCTTCAACCGCACACGGTTGTTGCAGTAAGGAAGCTTTGATGTGGACTGCGCGCCTATGGAACAGAAAGTATCAGGCAATTTCCGCAGAGCTGTGAAGGTTCCAGGGCTAAGGTCCCTGAGGCAGTCAAAAAAAGAACCACAACCACACACGCGACTGGCAGATGAGGAGCTTGATGGGGGAGGGTTTTGGGCTTAGGCTTATATGAGTTTGGGTGCTGCTTACCCTAAACCCTAAACCCGAAACCCTAAACCCTAAACCCTAAACCCTTAGCTGAAAGAGGCGCTTGCCCTTCAATCCTAACCAGGTGATGGTTATCGCGTGGGGCCGCCTTCTGATGTCTTCTTACGGTGGTAGAAAGCTCCCCCAGCTCCATCGGCTCTTTCACAGACTGGAACCACCCCAAACATCCTTCAGCCGGTAGGAAGACGAAGGCGCCCCAAACCTAGACCCGAAACCCTGAAACCCTGAAACCCCAAAAGCAGTGCTAAGAAAAGCCCAGCATCCGCCAGGAAGGCGAGGATATCGGGACTGGCCTTATGAAGGGCCAAGGCGGGCAGCTCCAAGTTTTCTTTTTCTGTTCCAGCGAAAACCGCATGAGCCCTCCGATAAGCTTAACTTTGAGCTTGAGAGTACACTTCTACAGTCACTATCCTTTAACAACTCGCTCTCTCTCTCTCTCTCTCTTTCTCTCTGTGTCTGTGCGTCTGTGTGTCTGTGTGTCTGTGTGTCTGTGTGTCTGGTAATCGTGTCGGTGTATGCTTGCAGGGAGGGAAGCAAGTACGTCTTTGCCTGCTGTAGTGACACCGTCGACGACGCAAGCATGAGCCGAGCAATGCTCTGGGGCTGATCAGTATAAAAAAACTGCAACTCGTTTGAAAACCCAACTAAACCCTAAACCCTAAACCCTAAACCCAAGGTCCCATAACGACCTCCCACCAAACACGTGATTCTCTGAGCCTTCCAACTCTGAAGCTACAGTAAGCCTAGGTCCTCCATCGTGTTTCTTTTGCACGTGCTCTCGTGCGGTGAACACCTACACATGATGAAACGCCCCTTCAAAACAGATGCCCCCCAATCCATCACAAACCCTTGAAGGTCCTTTGCCTGCCTTTGGCCAATGCGCTCATAAAATCCGCTGGAGACAGCCAGCGCAATAGCAAACACCGAACTTGAACTGCCCCAGCCACGCGGCATAGTCGTATAAGGTCGCGTTGTCGTCGCGTGTTCCAATGGTGAGATCGGCTCGGCGTTGGATCAAGTACTTCACGACCTGTCACCAAGACGGCTTGGTGCGCAGACTCGAAGAGCCCCCAAAGTGCACGGATGCAAGGGAAGCCCAATTTGAAAACCGCCCTCAAAAAGGCTGGGCTCTCTTGTCCACGAGCCTCCAGGTGCTGCCCGCAAGCCGCTTCGATGACGGCCGTAGCTCCCGCACCCTGGTCGCCTCAGCACAGCTCGGCGCTTCAAACGCGATTCCGCGCGGGTCAGCCGCAGGGGTGAGTCTGGGACAAAGCCGCTGAGATGGATCCGCAAGTACCCAAGCAGATGCTTCTTTACACGCCGGGCGGTGCCCACTGCAAAAAACCATCCTACGCAGGCTGCAAAAAGAAAAGAAGAAGTCTGAATGGCAAAGCTGGGCAGCCATCAATCTCGCGCTCATTGACGTCAATGGTGCCAGATTCAATCATCTCCTCAAGCATCAAAAGCCAAGCTTAGCACAGAGTCCTTGAAGAGATGAAGAGATGCCCGCAACCGCAAGCTGACCTGCCACCACACTGCCTTCAGCAAAGGCACACGTACGGTTGGGAGGTCCCCGGTCTCGCAGGCCATCTTCATCCTCCACTTCACCTCACTGCGTCCCTACTGCGGCGCACCGGACCACACAAAATGACACCCCAAAAGCCTCCCCAAAGTCCTCGCCTCCTGCGTGGGCGGCGCCGCGCGCTTCATGGCCCAGGGCGGCCCAGAGAGTTGGGAGGCAGAGCTGGGCAGAGGAGGGCATCTTTGATCATGTCGGGGCGGTCGAGATGTCTAAGCGTGGTGCGCTTGCTGTGCGTTGCATCATACTGCATCATGCTGCCACATGGTCCTTGAGCTCACAACATGCACAAGGTCAGAGGTGGTGAGGGCAAGATGGTCTTCAACAATCGCCTTGGCTTCGGAACTCCCACTTTGAAGCCTGGTGCAGCTTGGTGCCCCGGCAGTTTCGCTTGCGCCCGTACATGTTGCCCGAGTAGTTGAGCCACAGGGCCTTCCTGGATGTTGCGAGATTTGGTCCAGCAAAGGCTTCGAAACAAATTGCTTGCCTTGAGCCGGCACCGAAGAATACTCTGGAAGCGCGTTGTCCAACTATTGCGTTCAGAAGTCTGAAAGGATGTCGGGCGCTCACTCTTAGACTTACTCCAGTCAGGATGGGCCAGACGAAGCCAAATTGAAGGCCCTGGGTCCGGCATGCTATGGCGTTGAAAAGCGAAACCATGAGGCCAACCTGAAACTGACCGCGGCTAAACGAGGCCAGATTGGGGTTTACGATATTCGGGCTGACTTATTTGGGTCCTTGTTGTAAGGGGATCTTACTATTTAGGGGTCCCCTATCTTCGTAAACCCCCAGATGTCCTGCGGTCTTTGCTGTAGTTGGCTTTCCTCGGCCTCAGTCTGAGCACATGAGGGGGCCGGACGCCCGTCTTCGGAGGAATCTGGCAAGCAACTCTTCCACATCTTTCAACACCGTTCAACACCTGCACGACTCTCGGTGACCCAAGCGTCTGAAGGACTCGTCGACGCCCTATGAACCCTAAAGCCCTAAACCCTACCGAGTCCATTTCGGCCAGCGGGCTGAGGTGGCGATTTCAGCAAGGACTGATTGTAGTTGTAGACTGGGCCTCAGAAAGTGAAAGGCTTGAACGGTATATATTTGGGACATCAGATGGCACACGGCTTAAGTGCCTTGAGGGCTGTCAGGGAAAGAAGCTACGGCTACAGGTGGTGGTGCACGAGGTATCAATCTCCAGACGAAGCTTCAACTTCAGCTCTTTCTCGGTTGAACTGGAGGCACTCCAGGTGGAATGGTGCGACACTGGGATCCGTACCCCACTCCTGAGTGTCTGCCTGCTCAGGTCTGGCGACAGAGCTCAGTCCCAGCGGAATGAGAGAACTCCAAACTTCAAAGCTCCAGCAGCTACTTTCGACCCCTGCACGCAGTTGGTTTACGGTGCACATTAAAACAGAGCTTTGGCAGACTCCGCGGCCGGCCATATGAAACACATGCCCGGAACTGCACAAGACGCGAGGTAGCCTGCCGGGGCCTTGAATAATCGGCCACTCTTAGACTCAACCGCAGAGAAACTCAAGAAGACGTGGCATCAGCGTTGACTCTCACACAAGACAACAGTTACCAGCGTGAACACCGCTCTGCCTGCATGACGGTGGCGGGGTTGCGGCTATCGGGGACCTTCCAGAGTCCGCCACGGGTGGCTAAAGAGCACAATGTGGTGAAGCCAGGTCTAAGGCACCCCCATCTCCACTACCCTCAAAAAGAGAAACTCCTGCAGCTTCCTCAGCCGAAGCTAGAGCCACAAAGAATATCAAACAAGCCCTCGAGATTTCGAAGATTTCGACAGCTCTGCGATGAGAGCGTGCGGGGTGCCCAGGAAAGCTCGACACTGCGCCCTTGCATACCCACAATGAGAGCCCGGCCGTAGGAACATAGGATCCACCAGTCTGGGCAGACGTGTCAGTGGTTGTTGCACATTGCTTATTGCTTGGGGTCGGAATCCTCAGTATTGAAATAGCCTCCACAACCTACAAGGTGCCTCACAGTCAACTCTTTCAGGTTGCCTAGGACATGTTGGACAGGTGAGAGATCGGGCTCTAGCCTCCCCCCCCCCCGCCCCCTCCGGCAGAATCCTGCAGAACAACTAGCCAGCACCAAGCCACGAGGGGCTGCACGGCGGGCCCTGCACGGCCGGCTCGGCTGCTTACATAGCCTCAAACAGGTCGAAACTGGTCTCAGACGAAGGATGTTGTTCAGAGCCCGTTCGCCCATGCTTCGCAGCAGATGATTGCGGTCTGCTCCGGTTTGGTAGCACTTGCCCGATACCCACAACTGATCAAACCGTCAACTCCTTCACGCCCTGCCTGAAGGTTCATGATCCTCAGCAAGCTTAGGTACAGAGGGCCCTTGCCATAGCCCAAAGTAGGGTACCAATATCGCCCCATGAACCATCCCTGCGCCTTCGCTTCCAAAAACCCTAGGAAAAATCCCAGGGCCCCGACGCAGCGAGGCGCCCGCGGCCAAAGCCGCTGCCGCCACGGCCGTGGCACCCGCGCTCCAGGCAGCAGAGGGCGCAGCCGACGCCTGGCACTTTTTCGGGGACACTTTGTTCACAACATGGGGGTGTGGGCTGCTTCGGGGGGCTCCTGTGACAAGGGTTACAGCGCTTTGGGGCAAGGGTGCCCCTTTGAGAAGGCAAGACCCATGCAGAGTTGAGGGCTTGAAGGGTTGAGGGCTTAAGCTGTTTCATCTGTTGTTTCTGAAGCTGGGGTGGGAGTTGGGGAAGCGCGACCCTCGGAACTCTCTCTTTCCCATGCCCGCACGCCTGGGCCCGAGGCACGCTTGCCCGGAGGGATACGGAGTTGGCCTCGGCTCTTCAGCACTTGAAGGTTCATGGGGACTAGCAAGTTAGGAGATCCTGGCTGAAGGCTGCTGGGCATTTCTAAGTTGGGCATTAAGTAGGGGAACTGTATGCGCGGGGCAAGGAAAGGGGTACTGGTTAGCTCTCGTCGTTCTGGATCCTTGTTTTGTGTCTATGTTAACATACAGCCCTGAATATATCGACTGACAGCCCACGAGGATCACAGCCACATCGCGTATCAATGGGACGAAAGCCAACAAGTACCATATCCAAGAGCATCATTGCCAAAGCAAAGTGTATGTGCATCACATGATAGTAAAGCCACACGAGAAATGAAACTAAAGAAGCATGCATCAATGCTGGCGGAATGCCGGCTGCTTTTTGCTGCATGTATTTGAGATAGATAGATGTAGTAGATTGTGGTAGTTGTAGTGGCACTAGCAATATCAGAACAAGTAGTACAAGTAGTAGTAGTAGTAGTAGTAGTAGTAGTAGTAGTAGTAGTAGTAGTAGTAGTAGTAGCAGCAGTAGCAGCAGCAGTAGCAGCAGCAGTAGCAGCAGGAGCCGCAGCAGCAGAAGGCAGGAGCCATAATGATAAAAAAATGTCAATGACTCCGTACGAACATCATAGTACACAGGCGCCGAGCCCTCAAAACCGGGCCTGTTCGGACTTGGGCACCACAAAAGCGAGGCCGCCCGACAGCGCCAGGGCGGCCGCGGATGCGACCGCCAAGGCAGCCGAGCGGCGGGCCATGGCAAGTGACCTCCTTGGCTGGTTTAGGGTTTAGGGTTTGGGGTTTGGGGTTTAGGGCTTAGGGCTTAGGGTTTAGGGTTTAGGGTTTAGGGTTTAGGGTTTAGGGTTTAGGGTTTAGGTGCTGTGGGACTTGGAAGCGACCTTCGAGCTAATAGAGCCCTTCACAAAGATGACTTCATCTGGGATCCCGTGATTGCCATCGCAACCGCACGGTACTAAAGTAGTCGATGCAGATGTTCACACACGAGCAATTAGTCTCGCACTGAAGGTCTGGGCAAGATGTCGAACTACACCAACAGGCCAGTGAAGGGACAATCCTACTGAAAGGCTAAAGATGAACGTGCTCAACTCCGCAATACTTAAGAGAAAAACAACAAGTGAGATATCGTACGTACAGGCAGTTCACCACAAGCTTCATGCGCAGCTGTAGACCACTGCTGGTCGAGGTTTGCTGGGACAGGGTTCATCCCAAGATATAAACAACAGGCAAGGTTGGATCATCAAAGGTACAAGATGGGCCTCATCAAAAGTACGAATCGAGCTCACTATTGCAGCTAAGCCAAGGAGACCTTTGCGAAACAGCCAAGACCAATCCAACATCTCAAACTGCTGCTTTCCTGGTCCAGACTGCAAAGGCAAAGGGCCATCTGCAGCTAAGGTGCAGGCTGAACCCGACGTAGCCGAAGCAAGTCCGGCTGAAGCCAGAAAGCGCGGTGCCACGCAAGATTCGCAATTAATGCAACGTTGCCAGCAGGTGCGGGAGGGGAGTTGCCTACGGCTTCGAGACGGTACCCTTGCTTCCTTCCTGGGGCAGCCTCCGTTCATACTCCAATTGGCAGCACGGCATAGCTCTATAGGTCCCAACAAAGCACCAAAGCTACGCATTAAACAGGCGCCAAGCGATCGACCCGGAGCTCGGCGACCCAGGTTGGGTGAGAGGTCTGGGAGGTCACAATCTCATTCTCTGATCTGCTGATCTGCCTGAAACCCGCACCTACGTTTGCAAACCATCCTGGAGTCCAGATGCCCCTTTTTTTTGTCTGTCCCGAAGGGTACTCGTCTCCCTCATGGCCATCATGTGAGGACTGGGTGGTTGCACCCAGCACCATCAGCCTACAGGGCCAAGAGGGGCGAGCTCGAGCTGGAGAGCTGAAACCCAACTGGGTTTCACGAGCTTGCGGCCTTTGGCAAGCTACAGTATCCTACTATTTGCTTAAGAACCCCAACAAACAATAAAAGAAGAATTCCAGTGATTGCCCTTATAAGGAAGAATATTGATGTTTTTGGGGGGGTTCTTAAGCAATTGGTAGTATCACCAAGAGAAAGGGTCTCGGAGCACCTTACACGGTGCTGGGAGGCCGCACAGCGCCTGTGGCGACTTTGCAGTTGGAGGCGCAAAATCTTAAACAGTTGGCATGATCCAACCTGAGCCCCAAGCAGGCTCCGGGTTCAATGCCTGCAACAAGCCCTGGCCATGTCACCTCGCGTCACCAGTTGACAAAGACCGGCGGTGCCAAGAAGGAGAAGACGTTGCTGCGTGAGCTCACCGCTGTTCGAACGAGGCCTGGAGAGCTTGGGGGCAGAGGGGAAGCTGTGGGTTTTTGTGAGGAGCGTGTGTCTGTCTGTGTGTCTGTGTGTGCGTGGGTGGGTGAGAGGGATGGGGAGTCCGGGGCTTTACTTCCCAGCATTGGAGCCGGGTGGCCGCGGCGCCGTGCAGCAGGCGTGGCCTTGGAGACCAACTCGTGCAAGTCGCTGACCTTTCAGGGAGGCCGCAAGATGCCGGGAATGCCCGAAGCGCGCAACGGCGGGGCTCCGACAAGGTGCGCGTTGAGGTCGAAGTAGCCTAAGCGTTCAACAGCCACTCGGAGCTACATGAAACGCAGCCAGATGATCATGGCAGATCTGCTCATCGCATCCCCTACTGCTCATAGATGCTCCTAGTATCCTCGCTATACATTCAGCTAACGGGGGGACATGGGAGGCATAGCCACGCGAACAAGATTCTGCCGAGTTTGGATTGCATACGAAAACACACATCACCTGCTTCCTCCAGAGCTGTCACGGCATTGGCAAGTTCACTTTCCAAGCAGCTGTGCCGGATGCCATTCACGTTGGCATCCATAGACGTGCAATCCACCACGTCGATCTTAGGGGTAAGAAAAGGGTCCTCAGGCAAAAGGCAGTCGGCGAAAACAGACATCAGCTCGGGAAGGAAGATCATGCCCCTGGCTATCGCTTACCTTTTCTTTGCCGAATCCTTGGAACATCCTTGGGACATCCTGGGAAATCCTGGAACTCTTCCTTTTTTTGCCCAGCAGCGAATACGCTAGGCAGCGGATGCGCCCATCGGCCGAGCGCCCGGCCGCGACCGCCAAGGACCTGCGTCAGAGAGTGCCCTCAGTGCCCTCACTGTACTTTTGGGGGGCCAGCTTGGCTTGGTGGCTTTGGAAATCTTCGAGGTGTTCTACAATGTGGCTACACATGGTGATATGCACAGAAGCCTAGACCCCTCGTGCTGAACAAGAAGCAGCTTTCGATGGCCTCGCCGGCCCACAGTGCAGTGTCCTGGCAGCTTCCGAAAGTAGTTTCGCCCAGGTTGGAACTGTACTATCAGGATCTAGGCTGTACTCCATCATATGAACGCTTCCAGAACGCTGGGCAGGGATGATGCAAGCGCTCCGCTACTTCAGCATGCTGCGCCTTCCTTCCAAACGCCAAGAGCCCTTCTCTTCAAAAAAACGAAACCTCCCAGGCATCCATGCTCCTCCCGATCCACGTAGAGCGTCAGCCGCTCGCAGAGCGCGGTGAGCCGGGCCAGTGAACCCTGCGTGGAACTTGGGTCCCAGGGCTCGGGTTCATTGGAAGCTTTTCGCTTGGGGAGGGGGATTTCAGGGGCACTTCTTGAGGGTGGCTCTTTGAAAACATCGAGGGAGGGCCAACGCCTCGACGAACTCGTTGAGGGGGCAGGATGGGTTGCCTCAGCAGCGAGACCAAAAAAACAGGGACAAGCCGACAAGCCATCACCGCGCCCCCCCCCCCCCCCCCCCCCCCCCCAAAGCCGAGATTTTTAGAGTCCAGAGCTAAGCTGCAGAAGGAGATCGTCTTGATCTTCACAGGCGGAGTGTCATCCGTGCCTGAACTCAGGCATCCAAGGGCCCCAGAGAATGTCTCTGTGCCTGCTGAAACTTCTCAGCTGGGCCTCCAGTTGTTCCTGGGCGCCTGCACAGCAGTCGCGCATCAACCAAAATGGGGTTGCAAAGGAGGTGGGCTGGAACAGAGCTGCATCTTGTCCAAACATCACATCGCGGTTGAGGGTTTCATGCTGTCTGCTTGGACTCGGCGATCAATGGAATGCATGTGCTGCTGCGATACATACATATGAACCATATGACAGCAACAGCAAACAAACACTAGTTGAGCACCAAAGCGGACAGACAACATCAAGGCACCCTCGTCCAGGTAGGCGTTCCAATTCGTCCTCGGAGTGATACAAGGAGCCATCGCAGAACGAAATCTTTCACACAACGGGCACAGTTACTGATGCCTTTTCGGTTCACAATGCGCCCAGCCGCCAGCGCAGCGCAAACGAGCTCGCAGCCCATGGAGTGGGCCATGACGTGGAACTCCTCGCAGGATCCCCCGCTGTGGCTGCAGAAACTTCTCGGTTCGGGGTTTAGGGTGCAGGTTTTAGGGTTTTAGGGTTTTAGGGTTTAGGGTGTTAGGGTTTTAGGGTCTTCACAGCCAGACAGCTCTGAAAGCTCTGAAAAAAGCGGCTCCTGGATGCCGGCTTGGTGCAGCCTGCCCACAACTTCCCCTCAAATCCGGTACATCATGGCACGCCATGGCACAATGGCACATCATGAAAGTCATTCAGAATTCAGGGAATTCAGGGGCCCTCGTCTACGCAACAAGCATTGCGGGCGGGGCGTTCATGCTTTTGCACCGTGGAAGTAAGTCCGGCCCGACACGCCTGCTGAGGAACTCGGCCAGGTCAGGGGCGAATTGGTGCATCTGGCGACGGACATGGAAAAATGAAGGGATGCCGCCTCAGCGCCCAACACGCACATGATGCAAAACGGCGCGAACATGCGGGCGTCTCTCTGGGCGTCAGGCCCGTCGGCCAAGAGAAAACGAAGGGCAAAAACCTTGGGCTGAACTTGCCTCGGCACAAAAGATGTAGAAAAAGATGGGAAAGACATAAAAACATCAGTAGAGAACGCCTACCTGCACACCACCAACACCACCATCACCACCAACTCCACTCCCGAAATTCTGTTGAAGAAGTCGCTGCAATCCATAAAAAGTGTCTGGTAGTGTCGGGGGTGCCCAAGGTCATCAGCTGGGCCAGGCGAAGACACGCCCAGTCCTGTGTGTCTCAGCAATACCAGCGGCGTTACTGCAGCGAGTTCGGGAACGGCATCACGGTTGCAAGCGCGGATGGCACTGTGCATCACGCCACGCTGAAGGCAGAGGATCTGCTAGAAGAGCGCATGAAGAGCTTGAGTTCCGAACCTCAACACTCCTAGAACCTTCGCCATCGATGTATCAGAGCCCAGTGGCAGTGGGGCAGTTGTAGCCGTGCACAAAGACAAACGCCGTCTGCGAGTCGCTGATGTCGGAGCCTTAGAGGGCATGCTTTGGTTGACGCCTTGGTCGCCCCCCCCCCCCCCCCCGGATGGGCCAACCTCGGATGTAAAACTCCTGTATACACTGCATACTCTACTGCATATATCTGTATGCTCAAGCACCCATTCTGTGAGGGCGACCTTTTACATGTATGCGGCTATCACAACTCTAATGTATGCGTGCGTGTATATGTGTTTATATATATATATACACACGTGTACATGTACATAAACGCATATATACACATATATATATGTATATATTTCTTATTTGTTTATTTATTTATACTTATACACACACATATATATGTATACACATACAGACATATAAACATAAACATATGTATGATGCATGCATGCATGCATGCATACATACATACATGTACATGCATATGTATATAGATATAATACATCCGAGCTCCTGTTTAATTAAACCCCCCATATTTAAAGAATTTTTTTTGCCCGGATTCCCGCCGGAAGACTACTTTCCATTACGATGGATTTCGTATGGGCCAAACCCCCCACATTTAAAGAATTTTTGTTTGGGGGGGTTGTCAAATTTTGAAACTCTGCCTTTCGGAAAGCTTTTTTCTTCTGCAGGGACGTTTGGGTTCTTATTGTTTTTTAATAGAGAAACCATACGGGGCCATGGTCCAACTATTGCGGAACCCTGCCTTCCTTATTGTGGGGGGGGGGGGGCCCCCCCAATTAAACAGGAGCTCGGATTACATATATACATATATATATATACATATATGCTGCTACACACACGAAAAGACAATTGACATGTGCGAAGCAAGGGAAGACAATCAAAGGCGCGAGTTGCTTGTCTTGTTCTTCAGAGTCTCACGTCAAGGGGCAGAAGGAGGCAGTGGCGGAACGCGTATCGTCGCCTGGTCACGGCCACCCCTTCCCCCCCCCCAAACAAAAACATAAGCAAAACATCAAAAGGCCGCATGAGGACTCTCATGGCGTAGGGGGTTGCTAGTATCCTCAAAAGGGCACCCCATACACACCCACATACCCAAGAAGCTCTTAGTATACTCACCAAAGCCTCCCGAAGTCAAAGCTACAGCACTTGAAGGCGGCATGAAGGTGCGACACGTGTGCCCGTGTGTGCGACTCCTTGATTCCACCTGGGACAAGAATGAGCTGGGCTTAATACGACATTGACCGAAGCCGGATACCAACTCAGTTCTCCACCCTGCAACTGTGCTGCATCAAAAGCTTCCTCACAAAGGGTACGATGGGAGCTCCATGCGCCAAAGAGGCTCAAGCCTCGTATCACAAGCCGCTACTTTAACATTCCTCAAGGAAGAGAGCAACGCCTGGCTTTATGTGGGGATGTCCGGCTCTAGGGGGGCCCCAGATCGACCCCCAATAGTAGGCTGCCCTCAGAATAAGGACCCCAATAAGGTACCCCCTAGTTTCAGTCAGAGGAGTCCTTGCCCAGTTTGGGTAATAATGCCACCGTCAACCCATTAGATGATCATTCCTATACTCCCCCCTACATTTCACCGATATATCACTACTACTTCCCCCATTAGATGATCATTCCTATACTCCCCCCTACATTTCACCGATATATCACTACTACTTCCCCATTAGATGATCATTCCTATACTCCCCCCTACATTTCACCGATATATCACTACTACTTCCCCCATTAGATGATTATCCCTATACTCCCCCCTACATTTCACCGATAAATCACTACTACTTCCCCCATTAGATGATCATTCCTACACTCCCCCCTAAACTTCACCATTATATCACTACTACTACCCCATTATCAATACAATTTTAGGAGTAACCATAACCCCATCTATGATCTCTAAGGTGGCATTATTACCTAAAAGGGGCAAAGGGGTCCTTGTAGAATTTGGGTTTAGGTTCGGGGCTGGGGTGGAACACAGGCATCTAGCAGTTCCTTTCTGTCGCGTGAACTTCATTCAGTCGCTCCAGTTGCCCCATGAAACGTATTGTTTCGGGGAGATGACCTTCTCCTCCTTCCACTGCCCATCAGGTTTCTTCTCTGCGCCATACTCCTTTGCGATGGCTTCATTTGGTGCAACAATGACCCAGTTGATTGCGCAGACCCTCTTCAAGTCCGACGCAGCGAAGTATCTCTTGAACTTCTCATGCATTGACCCAAGCTTGAACTCATGCTTCTTGCCCTTTGTTGTTTGCAGGAGCCAAAGCACGAAACCATCATCTTGCTTCTGCACAAAGAAAAAATCGGCGGCCGGAAAAGACTTGCTCTCCGGGACATACAGCATGTTGGTCTCAAACTCTTTGGGTTTGTAGCCTTTGCTCAGCCTTTCTATCCGCTCGATGATTTGCTTGGCGGGCGGCACCTTCACAGTGCCAGATTCCCCCCCCGACGTCACAGATCTGAATTGCAGTGTCCGCGGGTCCGTCTTTGCTGTCAAACCCTCGAGCACGATATCTTGGAACAGGTTGCCGACGAAACTGCCAAGCTCCTTGTATTCCAAGGACACGTTGATGAACTGCTGACGACCTTCCCTACCTCGCTTTTCAAGGGCCTTGCGAATTGCCACATGGGCAACATCTGACTCAATAAGCATCACCTGCGCTTTGTGATACGGCTTTGCAGACGTGATCTGCAACAGAAGGCTCAGATGGCTTTGCTTGCCTTCTCCTTGTATGTTACGAGGCTCTCGCAAGACAGCTTTCAGCAAATCCTCGTAATTGCAATTTTCGAGGCACTCTGCTATCAATCGATGCGCTGCTTCAGAAAGGGTGCCACCCTCTTTCAACACTTGCATCAACCATCGCACACTTCCGCCGAGCAGGTCGTATGCCTCTTCAACAATCTTTGCTGTCTCCTCCGCCTCCTTGTCAAGAACATGCTGGAAAAGAGCAGCTTTGTGCTGCAACACCTCAGGTTTGGACCAAGTAGGCATATACAAGACTGTAGGCCTGCAGGTTTCCTGCTTGAATGCCACTTTGTAGCTTCCACCATGCGGCGAAGTGAAGACGATGCTGCATCCCCTCGGCCGAGCGTCGAGCTCGACCTTCCCGCCAGCAAGTGGGTCGAACAGCAGCACGGTTGTCTCCTGCCCTAGCAATGCACCGGGCTTGACTTCGCCATGAGCCCGCGCCTTGCCACCAATGTGAGACCACCACTCATTGCCACGTTGAATGACAATGTCGTAGCCCTCCGCAATCAAGATTACCGCCATGTATGCTAGGAAAATCGACTTTCCAATTCCGGGCGTGCCGGTGACAATCAGTAAGCCTCCAATCATCGGCCGTTCTTCTCCGTTTGCAAGTGCTGGATTGAAGATGCCTTTCAACCAAGCTACTATTTGTCCCTGCAGGTGTGTATAACATTCGCGAATCACCATGTTACGCTTCATGTTCTGCAGGCCCAGAATGGCCTGCTTGAAGATCTTCACCTCATCAGTCTTCCACCCTTTCGGCTTCATGCCCGCAGCTTCTTTCAGCCACAGGCAAAGTGGGTCGAGTTCGGCACTCTCAACCTCCGCTGCACCGAACAACGCAACCTTATAGACCTAAAACTACATCCAGATCAAAAGCTACATGAATAAACAACTAATCCCAAAAAAACACCCAACCCCCTAAACCCAACTAAGCAACCCAATCAACTAACCCAATCGGGAAACCCTACGAGGAAACCAAACCTAGGGGGGAATAAACAACTACGCTACAACCAAAGAGCCAACCCCTAAACCCAATAAGTAAGGTTATCAACCAAGCAAAACACCACAAGCCCTAAACCCAACCCTAGAAAGATGCCACAGTAAAGCTGGTGGGCACTGGCTGGTGGGAAAACATCTTTGATCCGGCTATGCAGGACTCCAGCCACTATGCGTCGTGCTCTGTCACTAAACTGGTCCTGCAAATAGAACATCAGCTTTTCCGGTGGATCTTTCTGGAGAACATCTTCTGGGATCTGAGAAAGAGTCTCCGCCATGCCTTGCTTTGCCAAATCGCCGACGTCCAGTTCCTGAACGCTGGCGATGAACCATGCGTGGTCCAGCTTCCGCTTCTTCGGTTCCGGTTCCATCGCAAGAACGTGCTAAACACTCTCTATGACTGGCTGCATTACGAACAAATGCTGAGTCAAGCTTATGTCAGTTTTTGACGAACCTATGAATCACAGCTGTCAGGTGGCACTGCAGAAGACGCAGCAGATTCCAGACACGATTGTAGTCTCATGTCGATGGACCGCAGTTTGACAGCTACTGGTTCGGTTGCCTTTGAGGGTTTAGGGTTTGGCACAAAATGAGAAATTGACATTTGATGCGTCACATCTGACCGAATAACAGAGAACTGGAACGTGCTTACTACTCGTTTCGCAATTGAAACAAGATAAAGCTCCAACGATTTGTCCTTTGAAAACCCACAACAACAACACTAAGTTGCGAACTGACTCCTAACTTGAAGTTGCAAGTAGCACCACAACAATCAATTCAAGTTGCAGAAACACTCACAACTTCAAAGACGCAGGAAAAACTACACCTTTAACAACTCAAATCGCAAATACGCCCGATCCACCCCTGCCACAAAATAGTAGCTCTGTCCCAACTTCTTGTCAATTCTCTCCACAGTATACACATTCGTGCTGAAATTACCTACCCGTTCTTTTTCGTTGGGTTTCCTCTTCCTAAATATTTTAACTTCATCCCCGACACCTAGTTCAGGATAGACCCGATTTCGTTTAGCATTCATATTCAAATGCAGTTTAACTTTTAATTCGTTGCTCGGTTTTCTGGCATCCTTTGGGGTGAAACCAGTAGCGGAATGTTTCATTTTATTGTTATATGTTAATAATATTTCAAAAATATAATCTGGCCACTGAATATTGTTCTTACCCTTTTTCTGATCGGCTTCAACACGACGATATAATAAATCTTTGAACGTCCTGATGGCCCTTTCGCTGAAATTTGCGTGTGCCCTCGTTCTATAGTGTTCTATGTTCTGTTCCTGCAAATACCTTTGTATTGCCTCCTTGTTCATTGCGGGTTCATCATCGGTAAAAATTATCTTCGGCTTCTGTCCCATTTTATGTAAGCATTCAATCATCCCACTAGCTAAGTCTTCTTCCTTCTTACCTTTAATAGCCACGACATGCATAAACTTATCAAATATGTCAATCATTAACATCCCTACTCTAAATTTTTGATCTTCCAAATCATTTATAAAAAAATAAGTCCATCTGATACTCATATGCTGAATGCGGGGCGACAAAGCTATTTGAACCGACGGGCTTTCGCTTTTGATCAACATTCTTCCTAAAAAACTCGTTAATATCAGACATCGTGATGGTTTTATCTTTCTCCCGCGCTTCTTCTAAAGTCCGGCTTTTTGAGCCAAACCCCGCGCGATCAAAATACACATCATTAATATTTTTTTGTTTCTCACTCATATAAAAACAAAAGAAAATAATGATTTAATAACTAAATTAAATCATCATTCGGACATCGGCATTATGATCTTGCAGTTCTTCATGTCGTATTTTGCCGAACCGTGCTTGGGCTTCATCGGCTTCTTTGCATTCAGTATTTCTGAGAGCAATTCATCATTAATCTCCTCGGGCTTCAGTGTGATATTGTTAGCTTGTTCATACTCCTTGATCTTCTTTTTCTGGTTGTGTCTCTGTGCAGATTCCCGTTTCTTTTGCATGTATGCCTCGTCCTTGTTGCGTTTGTGATAATACAGTCTGTTGTATATGGCGAGTTGTTCTTTGATTTCTTCTATTGTCATATCCTCGGGCTTCTTGCTTATATTACTATACTATATATATATATATATATATATATATTATTTTTTTCTTTAGATATTTTTTCTTTAAAACAAATCTTCAGAAAAATTCATTTAAAGGGAAATTAAATATATAGTTTAA